CACTTGAATAACGATTTTAACCACAACCCACCGCTCTGAACGCAGCTCTGAAAATGGACGAATTTGAGGACAAAAAGACTCACAGTGTTTCACATATATTGCTCTCTTACATTTTAGGGGCTTTCTTTGTGGGGTAAGCATTTCATAAATGAAATGATTGAATGTTTCTGTCGATGAGTGTTGAAGTGCACTGTGTTTTTTGTTTGCTGCATTGCTGCAGGATTACTACAAGACTGGAGTGATACGCTGTCCTGATGGGATATCCATTCCTGAACTGAGAGAAGCCTGTGACTATCTCTGTATCTCCTTTGAGTATAGTACTATTAAATGCAGAGATCTCAGTAAGTACAGAATTTATTAAATCATTGGAATTATACAGATTGATTTAAGCAAATGTGTGTGTGTGTGTGTGTATTATTCCAAATCATATCCTTTACTGAGGTAAGGAAGATGGCTGACACTACATGAACAAAACCCATCCCTTTTTGCCTCTTATGTAATAAAGCCCCAAAGCCAACGGATGTGTGTTTTTCTGAGATATAATGTTTCTGGTATTTCAGTATCTGGTTCTCTGCTGGGGGTCAGCCCTGTGCAATTCTTACACTATTGTTACATTTGCAGGACAGATAGAGTAACACTAAGTGGTATCTTTTTGTGCAGAGGACAGGGAGATGATTTATTCAGCTCCTTGCTTAAGAGAATAAATCTGTCTCCGCAGCAGAAGCAGCTCAGCTTTGCTGCTGGTGTAGGGTGTACCAATGCTCCCAGTATGTACCATTCTCTTCAGCTCCTTCCATCCCTGAGCACAGCCCAAGTTTTGGCCGGTGTTTAGGCGACCTGGGCTGTTCCCCTGGTCCCTGTAATCTCATGATGTGTGTGCAGAGCAGGCCAGGCCATGGCATTCCTGGTGGCAGGGCTCTGTGGGACACCTGTGCCTTCCCCAGCAGTGCTGTGGCCTCACCGCCTGTCACTGCCCAGTCACAGGCTCGGAGCACTCTGTCCTCAGCACAGGGATTTAGCAGCTCCTGCTGAGAGGGCTCAGAGCAGCTTTGTTTTTAAGCTACTGCTTTTGAAATGTGGGTTGTGTGCTCTTCTCTTTCAGCAACTGGCTTAAATAATGTTTCTTTTAGGAAAACAGAGAGTGTCTTGCACAGTTACCAAATGTTTAGCAGTAGTACAAGAGGAAGAAGGTCTCCTCAAAGTCGCTCCTGTCTGACCAACCTTATGTTAATATCTGCAGGATAGTTTCAGCTTCTGGTAAACATTTGAATAAGTTCTGAACTTACACAAACTAATAGACTTAAGTGTCTTTACACTTTTCTGCAGAAAACACCACAAGATAAACGGTTAACTGCTGTGTATCTTATTCCTGCCTTCATCTTTTTAGCAAGCTTTTAAATGTGCCTGTGCTTAAAATTTTCTTCCAGGTGCTCTCATGCACGAATTGTCAAACGATGGTGCTCGCAAGCAATTTGAGTTTTACCTCGAGGAGATGATTCTCCCCTTAATGGTCGCCAGCGCCCAGAGCGGGGAGAGGGAGTGCCACATTGTTGTGCTGACAGATGATGATGTTGTGGACTGGGATGAAGAGTATCCCCCACAAATGGGAGAGGAGTATTCACAGAGTGAGTTTATTATCCTGGTTGCCACCAAGCCATCCGTGGCAGAGGTAGCAGTGAATGTGCTGATTTAAGTTGTACGTAAGCACCGCCAGCGAAGTCTTAACAACATCCCTAATGCCTCATGAAACAAAACCCTCTTAGTTTTGGTAGTTCTGCTTAATATTTTGCTTCATAGAAGCGTATGTTGCTTGCTGTGTTCAAATCTAATTAAAAAGAGGAGCTAATTTTTATTGTTAAGGTATTTTCAGCCAGTGAGGGGGAGGAAATACCAACTTTTCTCATCAAGCTCTTTCTGAAAAAGTCATGTTTACTGTGGAAGAACAACTGGAGGATTTTTTTGGGGAAAAAACCCAAGTGTTGTTATTTTTGAAGTATTACAGATGTGTGTTTAGATGAGTTTAAGCACCTGTGAATGGAATGCCCTTCCCTGCACCGTGCTCTCCTGGTAGCTGAAGATGTTCCTTCACTGTGAAAACGTGGAATTCGGGGGGCTTTGTGAGGGCAGGTGGGAGCTTGAGATACTCTTTGTACTCCAGTAACAAAATCTTCTTAGGAGTCTCTTCAGAGTATTACAGTTTTATGTACTGTTAGTTTGTTTTTTTTTAAATTTAAGAAAACCAAAATACCAACACAAAAGAGAGGATGGGTTTGGAGGATGCAAACCCGCAGCTGTTCTTAAATAAGGGAGGCTCTTTGTGAATATAGATCAGAGGTGGCTGTTCCAATGTAGTAACACAATTAGCTCACGTTTCTAGGGCCGTTATGTCTCAAAGATGCCAATTAAGAAAACCCCCTGCTCTAATTAGTTAGGCACACACTTGCCTTTGACGTTTTCTCACTAAAATGTATTTTTTAGTTATTTACAGCACAAAGTTGTATAGATTCTTCAAATACATTGAAAACAGAGATGTGGCCAAGTCGGTGCTGAAGGAAAGGGGGCTCAAGAAGATCCGACTGGGCATCGAAGGTAAGGGAAGCACTGCTGGCACTGCTGGCCCCTCCCTCTGGGCTGGAGGAGCTGCTGCATTTCTCTGAGCCTGGTCTGTAAAATCTCATCAAGCAGTTGTACATTTTTGTCATGAATGCAAGAACTGGGTTTCTTTGCATTACATTTTTCCTCTGATTGTTGACCCAAATATTTTAGAATCCAGCCTTTATAATTAGCAGGATTTCTCTCCTTCACTCACCACGTTGTCATAGTTACGTTTGTAATTTGCCAGCCAAAAGCAAATGCTTTTAACTGGCTGTGAGCTCTAAAATAAGTCATTTCAGCTGAGCAAGGTGGGAGCCTTCAGGCTGACATGCCCTTCAGCTGAACAAGAACTGGCTCTGTCTGTAATGCTGGCTAATACCAGATTATTTCTGCTGGCACTTCTTGGTTTAGACAAAGAACAACTGTTTGACCAAACTGTAATGCTGGTGCCCTGTAACAATATGTAAAATGAACATTATTGCTGGGGCTGAGGGGAGAGGTGACTGGGACGCAGCATAACCAGAATTCACAATTCATCTAAAACCATGTATTCTCACCCTTTGGGGAGCTGGGAGGAATGTGCTGGGATTCCACCTGGCAACTTAAACCAGAGATCAGAGTGACACTGAGATCTCATCGCTGCTCTCCCATCAGTGTTGTAGAGACAGTGGCTGCTGAGTGGCTCAGGGAAGGAGCTGTGGTGTTGTCTGTGAGGTCTGGGTGGCAATATATTAATTATTATATCTCTGTGGTGGCACTGTACTAATTATTGACAGTACTGTGGCCTTTCCTTACAATTTGGTTGTCAGTTCAGCTCCTGACTCCATGTCCTGCTTGCACAGGGGACATGAAGAACAACACGATGGCATCTGTTTCCATTCAGGATGTGGATGGTGGCAGCTGCTCATCCTTGCTGTGCTTCCACACAGGTTTCTTCTTGTGAAAGAAACCCCGAGCCCCACAGCACAGGCAGTGTTGGGCTGTGCAGGGCTCTGGGCAGGGCAGTGGTGACTGTGCTGTGTCTCCCAGGTTACCCCACGTACAAGGAGAAGGTGAAGAAGCGGCCGGGCGGGAGGCCGGAGGTGATTTACAACTACGTCCAGAGGCCGTTTATTCGGATGTCGTGGGAGAAGGAGGAAGGGAAGAGCCGGCACGTCGACTTCCAGTGTGTGAAAAGCAAGTCCATCACCAATCTGGCGGCGGCAGCAGCGGATATCCCCCAGGACCAGCTCGTGGTCATGCACCCCACCCCCCAGGTAGACGAGCTGGATATCCTGCCCATCCATCCTCCTCCCAATAACAGTGAGATGGATCCCGAGGGACAGAACCCACCGCTCTGATCTGGACTCTTACTAAAACAAAAGCATGCTCCTTAAAGTGACTCTGTACTCAAGTCATACCACACTGCAATTCCAGTTTTTTCCATTGTGTTAACGGTGTTTAGGGTATTGCAGTACGGACCTTTGGAAAGACCAGAGGGTTGTTTTTGGAAGAGTACAGATCAAACACCTGGGTTCCAGTTACATGTGTATGTGTTTACCAGTAGGTTTGTGACGTTGGTGATTTGTCTGCTGGACTGTCCTCACTCTGAAGCCCCTCCAGGCCCAGGGGATGCGTCAGTGTTGTGACACAGGGGTTGGAATGCAGAGGTGGAATTGATAGTAGCACTTTACAAATGGTTGAGAAGTGGAATTTGAAGCCATTTTTTATAAATGTATTGCACAATACTAACAAAGTGCTTCTATCAAAACTGTACATAGTTTTGCTCTGAATAGGTTGACCCTTTTAAAGTTACTGTATATGGTTGAGCACAAAACTACTACTGGGTTCTTGGATTGAGGACGTGATTCAATGACCCACATAACATCTTGTTAAACTCAAAGTTCTTTAGTGAATTTTTTCACTTGTTTGCAGCGTGAGCCATGTTCAAAAATTGTGAACAACGGATAGGGGCTTTATCTTAAATTTTGCCTTACCTTAAGCTGTTCACAAATATTTATTTAATACATTTTTCATAAGTGTCATGAAATAGGAAAATGCAAATGGTTCATTCTTCATTTATTAATGATTGTAAACAAGTTTTTCATGCAAATAAAGTTTCCATTATTTTAATGGGCTCGAATTATCTGTGAATTATGTATTTTTAGAGCAGTTGCTTTTCTTTCCTCAGGGGAGGATAGTTAATATTAAGTGAAAAACAAGTATTTCTTAAAGAGAATCTGGTAACATCAGCCTGTCATCTCAACCTGCTCTCCTGTTGTGCTTTTCTTAGTATAAACTCCAAGATAGCAGTAAATAATAATAATAGCTTCTCTAGAAACTTATTGTTGTGTAAGTGTGGGTAAGGCCTTGTTTTTCCTCCCTTTTCCTCCAAAGCTAAAGAAATGATGAATACCAAGTGCTTCTAGCATGCACCTTCAGCAGGGTTTTATCAAATTTATTTATCAAAGTAAATGCTCCGTCTTAGAACAAGGGAAACATTTATTTTAAAAATATTTAACTGTCTAATACATTACACTTTAACAATATTTATAGTAAAGGATTCTTACAAGAAAGAATAAACAGCTTTATGGTACAATTAGTATAAGAAATATCCACATGGGGACTGTTTTGCAGTGTAAAAACACACCATACATCTGAAATGGTCATTTGCATATAAAAGCTACCACTGATGCCAGTGAGTTGCACAGTGATTTAAAAAAAAAAAAATTTCAAACAACAGAATCCAAAATATACAAGTATTGCAAGCTATACACAGCTAACCAAATCAACACAGAACACTGTAGCAGGTTATTCCACTTTGTCTGAAGTTACACATGGTAAGGATGAGTTGCATTCTGACACGGCTTTTATGAAATCCGTACATAAAAGCTCCTCAGTCCCACGAGTTTCACAGACTGTAGAACTCCACCAGTAAATGCACTTTGATATTTGGGTGTCTGGGGGCATCATTTACAAGGGCCAGGGCAGGTCACTGAAGTCCACGGGGCCGCCCAGCCCCGCGTCGGCCTCCAGCAGGCTCATGATGACGGCCATGGCGGCCTCGTCGTTGCTGGGGCTGCTCGAGCCCTGGTCGTTGTCGATCATGTCGATGCCGATGTGGGAGTTCTCCCCTGGGGGTGCAAACACAGGCACAGGGGGCTCGGTTTGGTCACTTCACTGCTATGGGCACTCACCCCATGACCTGGGGTGGAGCGTTCCTGTTTGAGGAACAGCGATCCGTGTGACACCCGGGGTGCCGCGGGTTCGGGGACAGCGCTGTTGGTGGGTGTCACTCCTCAGAAGTGACCAGTGTGGCTGAGAGGGACAACCCTACGTGCAAGACTTCAAATACAACACTAGATCAACATCCCTCTTCGGTTGTTTGAAAGCATTCACAAAAAGCAGGTAGGGAACTGAGCTAATTCACAGTGATTCAGAAAGAGAAAAGAGGCTTCCACGTATTGTCTAAAAGAAATTCCAATGTGAAGTTGGGCTGCCAGGAGCCTCCTTAGGCAAGCAGAGTGGTTGGTTATGGGCTTTATGCCTCAGCTGCAGCCTGCAGGTGGTAAGGGCAGGTTACTGCTCAAACCAACCATGTTGTTACAGTGTCTGTGTGTGTTTAGGCGTGTTCCTGAGTGACTTCACTTACCGAGGATGGAGGAGTTGTCGGAATAGGGGTAACCAGAATTATCCTGGATTTGCCCAGACAGCAATCCAGCTGAAGAAATGTCTGGAGTGCCACCATTCAAGATCTTGAAAGAAAAAAAAACAGAAGCTATAAACCAGCATGAAATGTTGCAGTAAGTCTTAAATTGTCCCATATTGGGATTTTTAATACAGGGTGGATGGACTTCCTGAAAAAAACCCCAAACATCACCACCTAAAGGTTACTTAATCAGACTAGTTGTAAACTAGGAGCTACTTTCCTCTGTACCAGGCCCATGGAGCAGATGTCAGAAACACCCAAACTGTATTTTCCTTTGTTCAGCAGCCCCTACTATATGTACATGTTGAATATTTTAGGGCAGGAGGAGCAAGGATAACTATTACCAGAATTCTAACTCTGTTTGTCACAACTTCAAGTTTTATTTCAAGAACAGAGCCAGGAATAGACAGAAATATTTACTGTCAGCTGTATGCTCCAGTACAAGCAATTCTTATGTACAGTCATCATAATTTCTGGGGAAAAAAGGTTAAGTGAATCTGAGACAGCGTATAAAGATTTGAATAAGTGCTCTTCTTGGATATAACTACCATAAACAGCAATTTGCAGACGACTGAAAGCAGCCAGGACAAGTGTTCAGGTGGTTAAGTGCTGGTAATGGTACCTGAGTGCTCCTCAAGCAATCTTAGAGCAAGGCAGGGTGCACGGTGTTGATTTAAAAATAAATTCTGAGTGCCCAGCAAAGCATTTAATTGTCATATTTTGTAACACCAGCGTGATTCATCCGAGCACAGCCAGTGCTCCAGCGACAGCACTTCCAGTGCTCACCAGCACGGGGTGTTGAAGGGTTTTTGGAAGCTGGGAGAGATGAGCAGAGCTGTCCCTTTGCAGCTCTGCTAAAAAAAAAACCAATCTAAGGAACAGGTGGATTTCAAAACCTGCTGATGTTTGGGATCTACTGCTCTCTGCAAAGGGGTTTTGGCCACCAGAATACTTTGACTGGGTCGGACTTTTCCAGCCAAGCAGCCAGGAGTTGTTCAAATCAGCTGTTCCACATCAGCACGACCCCACATCTCCTGTCACTGCTGCCACGAGAATTGGTAAAGCTTGTCCTTACCTTCTTGCCTCCCGGGGAGGAGGTGTCAGGTGGTGGGGTGCTGGTGATGTTCAGGGGACTGGAGCCACAGCTGGAAGGTGATGATCCTCTTATCCTAAAATATGGATAAAAACAGAGCATGGATTTACCAGCAACAGATGCCAGAGACTTGGAAGTTTCAAATGCTGACTTCAGTATCAGGTGCCGCAAGGTGCTAAAAGCATGACTTTAATTTTTGTAATTTCCTCCCTTTTTCAGCGCTGCTCAGACCAGCAGCAGCAGCAACGTTTTGATTTGCAGCCAGATAAACAGTCCTGTGTAAATCCAGCTCCGTCTGCAGGCTTTACCTCCTCCCCTCTGTTTTTGTTCCTGTGCAGCCTCCACAGAGAGTCAGAAGGAAAAGGTGCTGAGGAAAGCCTAATTTTTGTGTGTGTGTGTGTGTGTGTTTACTTCAATTTACACCAGCTAAGAACTCCAGCAGCCTCAATCACAGTGACCCAGACTCCCTCCATCAGCTACTGCTACAGAAGTACACTGGACACTTGATACAATTCTTTTTTTTTTTTAACTGCTCAAAGCAGCATTTTTCACTTCAATTTTCCATAGCTTGATCAAACATCTTTAATAATGTATCATGTATTGACTGTAGAACCAACAAATCTCTAGACTAAAGGGAGGAGGAGGAGTTACAGAGAAAAGCAATGGAAATGGGAATCTTATCCTTGGCAGAGTTCCCCTGGGAAAGCTGAACAGAAGGCAGCTTTGGAAAATAGTAACAGCTGCTGAAAAAGGACTGGAACTAACCCAGGATCTGAACTGAAATGCAAACACGGGGGGTAAACTGCACTACTGCACTGCTGGGGCTAATGAGGTGTTTTAGAGCTACTCAAAGGGATGGTTACACCTCCAAGTACTGGTTCAGCCCTGATGTGGCTTTTTAATTTTTTTCTTTTCTCCTTCTTCCTATTCTTACAGACAGGAGGGAAGTCTTATGGATAGGTCTGCTGTTCCCTTGTAGTCTCCTGCCTGCAGCAGGAACAAAACTGTGGGAAACAGGCTGAATGTTTTCCTGATTTGCAGCTCAGTCTGGTTAAATTGCTGCCACTAAACATCTGCTGGGTGAGACCACTTTCATAGGAAAGGGAACAATTCCCAAGAGAAAATTCGTGAAGAACAGGGGTTGTTAGCCAACAGAAATTAAGTGGTACCCGCTGAAAGCAGCTGCTCACACAGGTGAGAGACAGGACTAACAGCTCTGCATTCCCACAGTCCCTCACTGGAGGGGGCTGCAAGACCCCGTTTTTAAACCAGCCCCACAGCCTGGGAAGGCTGGGCTGCCTCCAGCACTGTGTCCTTGCTCCAAGAGCTCCAGGGGGGAACTGTGCAAGCTGAATGTACACATCCAACAGCTCCAGAAGCATCTGAGGGAGTGGATCACCCGAAAACAAACACTGCTTTTCTGGCAGGTGGTCATCAGCTTTGGCATTTGGAAGTTATGCCACTCACAGCCTTAAGTTTCCTGGAAGAAGAACAGTCTGGAAAGGATTTATTTCTAGTTAGCTGTTCTTTTTAACTACTGTTTCTGATAAACAGATAATCATCACCATTACAAAAAAGTTCCAGTACTGGTTTTTTGCAGTAGAAAGCTGGAAGGCTGTAACTTTTTCACACTTTCACTACAGGCTTTGTCTGCCTCAAGTCACGCTGAATAAGTATCTGTAGCTGTCTATGAAATACAATTGTATCATTCCTTACTCAGTTTGAAGAAAGACTTCCTTCATTTCCTCTTAAAGAACAATAATTCCTCTTAAGGAGCAATAATGAAACAAATAATGATTTTCCTCTGACTCTCACCTGTGAATCTCCATGATTTCTTCAGCAATCATCCTCCCTATTTTACCTGCTCCCGCTCTTGTTCCACCTGGAATTCCAGGCACAGTAGGGTGGGTCCTTTTTGGGCCACCTGAAATGAGTAGATATGTTAAGGTCAGATAGAAGCACGAAAACCTTCTCCAAAAAAAGCATTTATATTTAGGCTTTGACCACCTGCAGGACCTTCTGAATTGTATTTATTTCCTATTCCACCAGCTGGTGTGTGCCTTCAAGTGTATGAAAAGCTCTGGCTTGCACTGAGCTGTGTCTCTCAGACATCCCTCTGTGCCAGCAGGGATACAACATATCCCAGCTCTTTCAGGATCTGATTGTTTCAAGCACCTGGTCCAGAGCTGGTACAGAATGGCTGTCAGACCTGCTCTGTTCTGTGCCCAAACAGGCTCTTCTCCAAACATGTTTGTTCTGTGCTTCCTGGGAAGAACTTGCTGGTGCATGTTCCATTCAATAGGGGACAAGCCCAAGGTACCTGATGACCACAAACAAACCCCCTGCAAGAACCTAAGAATGGAGGGAAAAGTGAGGTCTGAACAGTTGGAAGCTGTTTCCTTTAATGTGATCTGACACCTGCACGGCACTTGAGGGGGTTGTCAGGAAGGAGCCCAATATTCTCCGAGGTAAAGAAAAGATCACACCGAAAGGGCAGGAAAGGCCTCAGCATTGCTTATCCATAATGGATAATTGCTGGCTTTTAGAAATGCATATTTAACAACAGCAACCCTCAGTATCTATGGCTCAGACCCAGCAGGAGGTGAGAAGGTTCACCTGGAAAGGTCATAAATCCTTAGCAGAGCCAGAACCATTTGAAATTAAACTTCACTCAGTTAAAAACTTCTTTTCTGAGGACAAGAACTGTCAGTACGATTATACTACACATCTGGTTTCTTTTCAAAGGCTGTAAAACTGTGATAAGAATAAGCTTATCCTACTACAGAACAGTTTGTTTTCCATCCTCAGAAAGCCCAGACCCCACATTGCTGCAGTTCCTGCACCTTCAGTTACCAACCACCAGGCCTCCACGGCACCTTCCCTTCCTACCACTGCCACTGTCCTGGGCTCTGCCACCCTTCCTGCTCCAGAGTCACCCACTGAATCCCTCTGTTCAGAGCAGAGATCACTGGAAAGCCCAGCTTTAATCAAGGCTTGCACTGCTCCAGGTGTGCTGTGTACAACTTAGGGAGTAGTTCCAGACACATGCAACACCCACAGCTGACAGATGTAGTATTCAGTGAACAGGATCTCCAATTATAACAGTTCCCTACTCTTTGCAAAGAATCTCAGTCTTGTCACCATTTTTCATGGGGATTTTCCATCCATGGGCTGCCACTGCATCCTTCTATCCTGCCTCACTTCCACCCTGCTTCAGGCACTTCATTAAACCAGGCTCTGCTCTGCATTGGGCTGCACCCCTGTGATGAGATGGTTTGGTGATCTGCACCACCCGTAACCAGCCCGTCATGATGACCAGGGGTCAGCGCTCATGTTGTGACAAAAAGCCAAACCAAGGGCAGGTGAGGGACAATAAGCCAAATGGCCAGACTGTGTTTAAGGTCCAGACTGTGTTTAAGGTCCAGACTGTTTAAGATTCTGAGGAGTCGTATGCACTGACCATAGACCTTGATGTCACTCCTGAGTCATGTGCAGATGGCACCATCCATGAAGGCAAACTTTCCTCCTCCAGGTCTGTTTATGATTCTTTTCCCTGATTCACTTCTCTTTGACCAGCTCATACCCAAAGCTGACATTTACGTTCAACAAGGCAAGAACTGCACTCGCACGTTTTTGCTCTAAAACTTATTTTGCCTCAGGATATTAACGAAATTCTCAGTGCAGCAAATTTGTGCACGCAGGATGAGCTGCTCCCAAGGCACGGCTGCCAATAATTTCCTCAGCACAGGAGTTACCTTCTCCAGCCTGGAGCACACTGTCCATGCTGTGTGGAGACGCCGCGAGCTGTGGAAAGGCTGCGTCCCCGCTCTCCAGTACAGTGGTGCTGTGGGTTGCAAGAATTAGTAGGATCAGTGATAGAAAACCCCAACAGGTAAAAACCTCTATCAGTGATTAAAAAAAAAAAACCAGTCATAATGCCAAAAATTTCAGAATGGAATGCTTCAGGGCTGGAGTAGTTTGTGAGTCAGTGTCACCTCCGTGAGAGCAGCACCTGTGACTGACACCAGGGCTGCATAAACAACAGAAATAAACCTTAAAGTGAGCAGTGCAGGGCCTCAACAGCCTCTCTCACAGAGAATTCCCCTACAGCAGTTATTCTGCTGCCAAGTCACTGCTCTGCACAGAACCCTCAAGAAAAAAAGAGAAGGGGGGGAAGCACCTAACAAAGCAAAGAAATGCATGTCCTGTAAGTCCCTAAAAAGACTGAATCCCAGGTTTTCCCAAAGAAAGAAAATATTTATATTTTTTGCAGGCTTTAACAAACAGATTACTGCAACTGCTGAACTTATTCCCCTCTCCACAGGGTGTTATCTGGAGAAGACACCTATTGTCATGTGGAAGATGTGCACACATTTAGGTCAACTCCCATCTGAGGAAAGGGCAAAGCAGTGGGCATTTACAGGCACTTGCTGAGAGGAAAATACTTACGAAACGACTGTGTTTGTTGAGACAATGTATTCTACTTCTTTGGTCCAAGGGTTCATGAAACTGAACCAGCGACTCCGCAACGTAATAAAAGAGCCATCTTTTATTTTAAACTTGTAGCAGTTGGTTGTAATTTTTTCTCTCGTCTGCAAAACTGAAGAGGGCAGAAAGCAAGTAACTTTGTGTCAAACGGGCACCATGACCACACAGCATGACCACACAGCAGAGCTCTTTTCAGGGAAAACTCGGTTAATTCCTCCCTTCACCCCTGAAGAAAAATGCTGTTCCTGTGCAATCAGCCCCCCTCAGCCATCCTGAACCTCAAACATCCACTACAAATCCATGCAAGTCCAGGATAATCACAGTGTTAGGCACATCCAGTGTTCTTGACTAAAGCATCTGCAAACAGCAAACCCCAAATCTTTTCGAGTTTGTTTGGTTTTCTTAACACACCACTTAAAACACACAATATGTCCCGATATTTTTAACAAGATTACTGAGTTATTAATAATCATACCTTGTCTATGACATTCTGCAAGGTGTGCTATATCATCTTGATGAAAATATTCATAACACGAAGTACCTAGAAGTTCCTGGGGTAAGTATGCCAGAATGGCTGTTGCCCTGGGGAAGGGAGGGAGAGGAAGAAAACAAAGAGAAAAAGAAAAAATAAATAAATGGTTTCAAGTTGAAGTATTAGTCACAGATTACTAAAGCTCCACACTGGAGCTGGGTAAGGCCCAAGTAATGCGGAAAGGAATTTTCAGCTTAGAAGGTTCAAAAATTCCTTAAGAACGCTATTTTTAATTCTCAGGTAATTAAAAAAGTATATATAATACCAGCAGCCCTCAGGTATTATGTCTGATCCTACCACCACCAGAGGGGATCTGAGGCTTTCTAAATAGCTTTGAAGATAACAGTGTAATTTTGAGAATTTAAACCTGAAAAAAGCTGCGTTGTAGCAGCCACAAGGTGCAGAAAGCCAAAGCCACAGTTTTCTGCATAAAGTGCCATTGAAAAACAGGCTTCAAAGGTTTGAAGAACTGCTGTGCTCCTTTGCATACCTGTGGTGCTGCTGCACAGAGCCCAAATTACTGCACAACACGTGTTTCAGGAGCATTTTCTCCCCTCAAGTCACAAGCCTTAAGAGCGGGACAAAACAAGGCCCCGCCAAACTCTGCACCCACATCCACAAAGCAGAAAGGTGAACAAACAGGATTTTCCTGGATATGCACTGAGGCCCACTCTGTGTCCCTGAAATCAGACAGCAGCACACAGCAAATAAACCACCTTTTTGTTCCATCAGAACCAGCCACAGAAACAACTCATTTTCCTCCTCATCAGAAAGCTTTAGGACAATATAAACCTGCAATCCACAACATGGGAAAGACCTGGATTCTTGGTCTGACTCTCAAAGAGACTCTCAATTAGGAGCTGCTGGCGAGGCTGGAGGACATCTCAAGAAACCAGGAAGAGTTTGTGCATGAACTTGGGAACCCAAGCCTGAAACTAAGTTCAAGAGGAACAGGCAAAGCAACAGTGCAGGTGAGTGACAACGAGCTGAACCACAGCCCAACACTGTGGAAGGGTCATTCCCACAAGGAAGCAGCTGCAGCATATGCTGAGCACCTCAGAGACCTGTGTGCTAAAGCAGAGTTATTCCTTGAGTTGTTAATGGTTTAGGAGCTGTAACAACTGCCCTAGGACAACTCATCTAGCCCAGAAGACCAACAGGAAAAATAACAGCTGGGGGGAGCAGTGGGAATTGCTGTCCCCCCATACATTAGGGTCGTGCACACTTGCCCCCAGCAGACACTGTACAACAGCAATCTGTGCAATGCTGAAGGGATTTGGAGGGCATCTGAGGAGAGACAGGACATTGCTGCCACCACAGTGCACAGAACACAGCCCCCACCCAGGGAAATCATTCTAAAACTTCCTGGTGCAGGAAGAAACAGCTGAGAAGGGAACAAAGCAGGGCAAGCCATCCAGGCAGACCTCAAATCGTGCACCATTTAATGTAGAAGGCAGAGAACACGGCGAGAATCAAATGTGCAGGAGCCCCAGTGAACCTGCTCAAGAACATCAGAACAGAAAGTAACACAGCTGAATGATTCCAGAGTGAGACCCTCTCTAGAAGAACAGAGAGCAAACAAAACTACTGAACTAAAGTGAACTTGGATTTTGTACCTTTCTTAGAAGACAATTACTGAAGGAGAAATGACAGTTCTTTGAAAAAACTAGAATAAGAGTCACAATCCAATGCAAATAAAATATGAAAGGCAATAAGGAACAAACCTAGAGAGATAATCACCTCTTCTACAACCTCCAAAAAGTCCAAATTAAATAATATAAAATGTAGAAATTAGTACATATTAATAACTATGAATAAAAACAGAAGGAAAAAACCCTGAAGCACAAAATCCATAGTATTTAAATGCAGGGCATTTTTGTCTGTTCCCAGACACACCAAGAGCATTCAGCAGTAATCAGGTGCCTTACACCCCAAGTTCTCCTTCAGGGAGCTCTGAGACCTCAGCCTTGGAGAAGGAAACATTACAAGTATTCAAACTGGCTTTTGCCTGGTGAGCCTTATCCCAGGACACTCCAACTGCCGACAGCTCCAAGGCTGCTTTGATGAATTATCTCAGAGTGGGTGGAGAACCACAAAAGCAGCAAAACACAGAGTCTTCCTTTAAAGTGGAAGAGCAAGGAAGCAGGTCAACCTTATTCCAGTATTTTTCCAAGAGCTTTAGTAACCAAGCCTTTTAACAGCACTGCAGCGATGGGACGCCTGACACAGACGGGCAACAACCAATATGGGCACCAGCAACCAACTTGTCAAACCTTTCCATAGCAGGATAAACAGGTGTTTTGGAAAGGAGAAGAGGCACCACATCACAGCAGATCTCAACAGACTTAGTGAATTCAATATCTGACCACGTTCTATTACGCAAGGAAGAAAACTGTTCATGTCCTTCTTGAATTTCATCCTCTATTTACTTTTTTCCTGAGCTCACTTCTCCAACTTAAGAAGATTATCTATCTGCATCACATCGATAATAAACTTAATTTTACTTCCAAATTCACCATCCAGATAACTTCAAAATAATTAATAAATAAGAAGGAAGATGATTCTCTTTAGAACTCTTCAGTGCAGCTGCCATTTTGACAGTGAACTCTTGAACAGTTCCCTGGCTGTGGTAGTTGGTAGCTAATCCATAGCAGTGCTTCTCCAGGGATCACACAATCCATAAGGACAAAAAGTTAGGGCCACAGGGAGTTTAAGAAGTGTTTCTTTCCTGAATTCCCTTGGACAAATGACAGAGGAACAGGGCAAGTCTATATGAACAAAAAAAAACTGACATGGAAATTAATTGTTTTAAACTTCCATAGATGCCTAAATATTCTCCAGTGGAAGCAGGGATCATAGGATGACAAATTTAGGCCTAGAGATGAGGCCTTCTTGTAAAAAAATTCCCTTTCAAAGAGTCCTTTGAAGTAGCACACACATTCCAAGGACTGCAAACAACAGCTGGAAAACAAATAAGAGCATATGTGTTTAAATCCAATGGGTTGACATTCTCTGAGTCTCATTATTTCAAAAATACTTCAAAACTATCCGTCAGGGGAATGTGTCTGATTTTTTGAAAACAAAACTCGTTCACAAGCTACCATCCTTTGGCATGACAGAAAGGTTACAAATGCTCCCAAAGCTCCTAGACTGAGCATCAGCTCCAAACACTTGAGACCTGGTATTTTAAAAGGCTTTCTATCAAATTAAAAAACAAAAAGACCCAAAAAACACAACCAAAACCCCCAAAACCCAACCACCCCAACCCAGAGAGATAACATAAAAAAAAAAAAAGATTCTCCTTACTGCACTTCCTCTCATGACTATCAGCTTTATTTCCTCTCAAAGTCCACAAAAAAAAAGCAGCTGACACTCCCCCTGAAACCAATTCCAGCAGGCAGATCTGCCAGAGTTCGGAGTCTGGGCTTTTCTACGTTACAAGCAACTGAGTCAAAGCCACAGGCAACCTGAAACAGCCTCATCTGGGCATTCTCAATCCCTCTTGACAAGGAAGGGAACCAACCCAGCCCTCTCCAATCAACCCAGTGTAACCTCTCCATTAACATCCTTCAACCTCCTTTCCCTTCACATTTTTCCCTTGGTAATGCCAGTTATTTTGAAGGAAGACTCAGGTCATGTGTGTCTGCTACTTCAGAAAAGTCAAGCTATTTCTTCTGCAAGAGAATTAACCTTTCAGATAATAAATGGATGTTTGAAAGCAGATACCACACTGGCACAAGTTCTCAAGCCTTTTCCAAGAAATAAACCTCAGGAAAAGCTTTCCTTCCTAGAAGCATAAAAGAACACACAGAGAAGTATGAATTCAGCTGAATGTGCCCAAGGAAGCAGTTAAATAAGTGTCCATGCTATCAAAGCCTAATGCAATCTGTGCAATAACTTAATTGTGTTTGCAAAAGGTTTCAAATAACGAAGAGGTAGTAATTAGGGTCCAGTTCCAAAACACGGTCTTCTGAGGATTACACATATACATATCCTCATTAAGAAATTGGCAGAAATGATCCTGGGATTATTCTGCCTAGTAGGTAATATTTTTGGAAGGTTTTGGGTTTTTTTAATTTCATCAGTAATACTGAATACATGCATAGTAATAGCTTTAAGCTCTGTCTCAAAACTCAAAACAACTTGCAGCCAGGATCTGGCAAAAAGCTGAAAAGGAGAGTAATTCGTCTTTTTTCAACAGCACAGACAGTGCTGTAAGTAAAGCTGTGAGTGAGGCAGTGTTGGGCAGTGACTTATTGTGGAGGTTGCTCCAAGTCTCCTCACCTCTGATCTACAAAAACGAATTTCCCATCTATGGCGTGTCGGGACACGTATTCCGTAGGTTTCACCCGGATCTCGCCGTTCACCGGCTGTGGCACCACATGGGGATGGAGCCTCCCAATGGCAACAAGGCAGCTCAAGTTACAGCCCTCGTTATCGGGCTCGTTATCCTCATCCAGTCCCATCTTTGTTGGAGGCCAGCTTTTTAAATATCCTGTGCTATGAATAGTGCAAAAGCTTTTGCGGTCTGCTGTGAAAAGAGAGAGAAGAAAAAAAAACAACAAAACAAAAAACAAACCAACAAAACCCAAAAAAGCAGTTAGGTCGTGGGTACAGCTTTGGAGAACTTCAGCTGAGTTCTGCTAAGAATGCATCTCCTCTCTGACCCAGGAAATTCGGGATGATATTCACTAAGGCAGGGCTGAGGGAGCTGGGGGTGTTTATCCTGGACAAGAGGAGGCTCAGGTGTGACCTTGTCATTCTTCACAACTCCCCGAAAGGAGGCTGTGGTGAGGTGGGGTTTGGCCTCCTCTCCCAGGCAACCAGTGACAGGACGAGGGGAAATGGCCTCAAGCTGCACCAGGGGAGGTTCAGCCTGGACATCAGGAGGAATTTCTTCACCAAAAGAGTTGTCAGGCATTGGAACAGGCTGCCCAGGGAGGTGGTCGAGTCACCACCTCTGGAGATGTTCAAGAAATGACTCGACTTGGCTCTTAGTGCCATGCTTTAGTTGACACAGTGGTGTTTGGCCAAAGCTTGGACTAGATCTTGGAGATCTCTTCCAACCGTAATGATTCTGGGATTCTAAGGGATTTTCCTGCACTCCTGCTTTAATGAAGCTAATCTGAGATAATCCAATAAACAATTTATCTTGGCAAAAGCCTTGTTTATGCTGAAACACAAAATAGCTCAGACCAAGGTTGCTTTTGATAATCTTCGAGCAGGAATTGCATCACATTGTACTATTTCAGCAAAGGATGGAAATAATCTAAAGGACTGTCTGAGGAAATTAGTAGATTAATAAATAAGAGGCCTCTCAACTCCTACAAAAACCGGGAACAATATGTTTGGCAGAACATTCACTGTTTGGGGTGTACCAGGGACAGCTGTACACAGGGGTGAGGATGAAGATCCACAACGGCCAGGAATACAGTCAGTATCCAAAAGGGGAATTCCTATCCCTCAGCACTGAGCAGGCCTGAAAAACTGCAAGGAGGGTGACTTTCATAGGGAGGTAAAAGGCTTATGTCTAACTGCACAAACTGCCTTCCTTGGGGATTAGCACAAAAGCAGGATCCAAGGCTGAAGCTGTGTTCGAACCTTGCAGGAAGTACCTGGGGCAGCTGCCACAGCCAGAGACAATACACCAAAATTGCCTTCTGTTCTCTAGCTGTTTGTCTTTCCACTTTAACTAACATCAAATGTATTATCCAAAGTACTCAGAGAAGAAAGTGTCAAATTTGGGCTAAATATATATTCCAACACGTCTAGAATAACAGGAAAAAGATATTACCAACACTGATAAAGTTATGACCAGATATTCCTGCTGGAGAAATACCATGTTTCCAGTGGTCAGAATGTACCAAACCTGCAGATGAACTCGGAATAAACTCTTTTTTAAATTGATACCCATCCAAATATCACTTGTCAAATATGGAGCAGAGAAATAGAAGAAGGAACAGCTCCCCTTTGCTGGAGACATTGGCAAGATGGTCGATGCCTGAAGGAGGTGCAACAACCACCCCAGAACTGCTGGCACAACCTGTCTGCAAAAACTCCAAGAAAGCAGAGTGGGTTGGAAGGGACATTAAAGATCATCCAGTTCCAACCCCCTGTGCCATGGGCAGGGACACCAGAGAATTTGTCTTTATATGCTAATACAGTGTGTAAGAGATACTGGGGCAGTGGCAGGGGGGTAAGTAACAAACCTGGACACAGTTCAGAATCTTAATAAGAAACACTTGGTAATAAAATGCGTAATAGTTACCTTTCTTCTTTGAACAGGTTGAAGGGAAATCCTTGTCTTCTACTTTCACTGAAGGCCTATTGCACTTCATCCTGCAGAAGAAGGACCTTCTTGCTCCCGAGCACAGCCGCGACGGCCCGGGCGTGATGTCGGTTTTGACCGGGAGTCCGGCTGCAGCGAACAGGAGTGAGGGAGGGTCTTTGTCAGGGGAAAGTCAACCACCCACGTGGTTACACCACACAGCCCAACCACACAGTGCTTCCACTTCACTGGGACTCGTACAGAAGTCCTTTTAAATCCTTCTTCGGGAGCACAAGACCTATTTCTGAGATTTGCACTTAAGCAACCATGCAGGACTCAACTGACCCTTTCAACATGACAATCTCTGGTTACAGTTTCTGCTGTGAGAACACTGACACACAAAGCTGGAGAACGCGGGGTTCTAAAGGCACAGATTAGCAAGAGGTTGTACAAATCCACGCAAGTCCTGTAATAAATGTTGTGATTTCTCTGAACAATAATCAACTGATTAGAAGCAAAGAGAGTTCATTTCCCTGTAACCAGAGAAGTGTTCCGTACACAGCCACTCAACAGGACCCTGACCCTTTGGACTGCACTCTTCTATCAGAACACCCATCCAGAGAGCAAATGTGCATGTACAGAGCAGAAGAGCCCCAGTGCCATTCCAGGTCCGTCTCAACTGGTGTGTTTCAGATTTTTTCACTGTTCTGATGGAAGAAGATAAAAACGTAGCAGGGACCTACACAGGGTCTGCAAATTCCCAAGACCTCCACTTATGTTTAAGAAGTCTCTCTAGCCTTGCAGAAATAACTGCATATGGACATGCCCTAACAATAACCCCTGACTTTTATCACATTCTTGCAGGAGATTCTTAGATTCTTTTCTGTGGAAAGTGATTGGAGAAACAACCAAAACATCACTCTGGGAGCCAACAGCGAGTGCTGGCACAAACAGGGCTTCGGGAAGACGCCCAGGATGCGTCAGGAGCACAGGGATCAGCAAGGCCAGTGATGCAGCTGGAGCTCCAGGGGCAGTGCTCCAAGAGCTCATGGAGGATTTTAATCACACAGCAACTTTTCCACAGCCTGCTACCCACTCCAACCATTTCTGCACGGGGATATGGATAATCAAACTGCTACAATAGTGTACAAAGACTTCTTGGGCCCTGTAGGCTTTTGACACAAGGAGGAAGACAACAACTCCAATGTTTTAGTGGAAAGTGTGGCTCCCTTAAAAATTACAATCGAGTGAGGTGACCTCTAGGAGGTCAAACTGCCCCGCACCATATGCACTCTAAACTACTGTTCCGTGGTGAGAGTACAAGCTGTGCCTGAGTCACTCGTGCCAACACAAAAATAAACATGCACATACATACTAGTACTCTTCACCAATATGACTTCTTGAAATCCTACCAATCAGTCTATCATAGCAGATGGGAAGACTGTAATTCATAGTATTTATTTTTGCCCTAACTTTGTCAGAGGCACACACAAAAAAAAATATATATATATATGTGCCTGACAACTGATAAACCAGGAGCCAGAAAAAACTTGAGTTGATTCTGCTGAAGCCTCCAGCCTCCCTGCCCTGGAATGATCTCTCTCAGCTTCAGTTTGTGAAGTTGAGCTGGTGGCTTCTGTGAGATGAGATCCTAGAGATTTCTGCTCCTGGCAAGCATGAGACTTAATGACCTGGAAATCTGCAGTTTTAAGATACCACCTTCTACTTAAGCAACGCGGACTCCTGTCATGAGAGGGATTTAAACACCCACTCACCTCAAAAGCAGCAGAGATACTGAGCTACTTTAAAATACCAGAGTGGAATAGAGCTAAGAGACGTGGTAGGAAATGATTCCAAGCACCAGGTTAAAAACCTTCTTAAAGAAAGGTTGGGTCACTGATGGAAGCGGTCACAAGTAATCAATGAACAGATAACTAAAATGAATCCTCTTGACTGACACCTAAGGATTACCAAAATAATACTGAGTGTATTCTGAAAATTGAGAATGATGGATTAGAAGTAATGGTTCACATGTTTTAGTGGAAAAAGTTAAACCTCTGATGCCTGGAAAAAGAGAGGATACCTCACAGGTGAAGCCAGTTCAAGCAATGCATGTATAGAGCAGGGTGTGCCAAATCCAACAGCTTCTACATTCAGGTATCTGTTTCATACTTAACTTCTTTTTACTTTTCTTGTTTCTCCCTGTCTTTCAGCTAAAACTTCCTTGGCATGAGCCAATCCAGACAGCAGCCACACACCCCCATACCTTTGACATGAGGCAAATACTCAGAAGCAGTGAATTTGGATATATGACACGTTCTCAAAAGGTGGTAAACACTTACTTTTTGCATCTATGAGCCTTTCCCGTGGTGCAGTGTCAGAAGAAGAGAGCTGCTCCTTCACTTTGGCAATGTCTTTAGGATGGAGATAATCAAATAAACTTTGACCAATCAAATCATTCTGTAGAAATTGAATATTCAGTCAAAAAGTAAAATAATGGTTCAGCATATTTTCTCAGTTTTAGCATCCTTTTACATACATGTCTAACCAAGGAACACCAAACATCCAAGATCCAGCCTCATTGCAGGGGGGTGGGACTGGATGACCTTTAAAGGGTCCCTTCTAAATCAATCCATTCTATGATTTGATGGAAGGTGTGTTTTCTCTGTGTATCTACATTATGACTACACTACACAGCAATTTATGTCATCATTTTTAGCAAGAGTTTTGCAGAACTGGCATGTTCAATCCACCACCACCAAATATTCTGGTTTCTCCTCAGTCTCACTTCATGCACCACACGTCTGAAGGAAAAAAAATTATAGTTGCAAATATTCTTCTTCAGTATTTACCTATGAATAGGTATTTAGTACATACCTGACTAAGGGCTGGCTAAGGAAAACTTTTGAAGCTAAGACAGGTTTTAAATTTGGTAAGGAGTGCAGATGACAGAAAGAACGAAGATGATTTACACAATATTTGGTCCAAGTTAAGCCTTACATTGAGCATATATTAAAAACCTGCCTTTGGTATAACTGCTTCCCAGTTTCCACCAGTAAGGATGCAAGCAAAACCAGAGCAGACAGAAAGAAAACTAAGTCAAAAAATCCACGTGAAGCAATTGGAAGAACCCCAGACTGATTTTTCAGTATTTGCTTATTACATAATGCTTTTGCAAGCCTGAGGGTAAATCCCTGATCAGAATGCATCAATCAGGGAATTACAGTTAGTTCCCTTTCACCTCCTCAGTTTGAATGGAAACCAGAAACAATCATCTCTAATGACATGGCAGGGAAAAGTTCTCTCCTTGCAACACCTCTCAGCTTTCAAGGCAGACTATTCACAAACCTGCCTCCCATACAAGTGCATAACCATAAAAAAAGCTCTCAAATCTTTTAAGACCTAACATTACTTAAACAGGAAAAGAATACCTGGCTATAGTTGAGGATCTTGAAAACAGATTCTGAAACAAACAGTATCTTTCCTCTGTCACAGCCCACAACAAAAAGAAATCCATCTGCTGCCTAATTAAAAAAAAAAAAAAGTCAAATATTAAGTTACACTTCCTCATTGCAACATTATAACCTTTAAAAACGCTATGTATAGAGTAGAATTTCTACACTAGGAGAGCTGTCTTAACATTTAGAGATAACTGAGTCAACAGGCAAAATGTGAAATTACAATAGGTTTTTTTTTGCATCTGCAAACATTTTTGGCATCATTCTGGGCATCGTGCCCAGGATGTAAAATAACTTCTAGGAGAAGAAAGAACTCATGTCTTGCCCAATAATATTATGATTATCTTTAATAATGCCTTCAAATTAAAATATTATTTAAACTGTATTTACTCCGTAGTTCCTCTTTTAGAAACCAAACGTAACCTGGATATTTATTTCTGTGCCTGTAGGCAACTGATTCCCATTTCCAAAGTACTCTTTTTCAGTCACACACGAGCACGCAGGAACAGGCCCCAGTTCTACAGCCTTGGAGACACAGTGTTGTAGAAATTAATTCTGCCTATGCTGATCTGGCCACTGCAGTGCTCCATCAGTTACACAAGCTACAGGAAGAGTGAGATATCCTCTGTAAGCCAAGTTTACAGCAAGCAGCCAAACACACTAAGTCATGTTACATCAGTGACCTCAAAAAAGGGTGTTCCTTTTATCACTGTACACTGAAAATCATGGCAAAGGAGCCCGTGGCAGGAAGTCTGCAGGAACACAATTTATATAATTTTAGTTTGTTTCATGAAATAACTGAAGATTCTGATGGTTACCATCAAAATATCAGTTTCTTCAAATCACCCTCTTTAATCTTTCTGTTTAAATTAACGCCAGTCATCATTAAACTCATTGGCTCTATGAAGCAGTCTGCAGATTTTTTTAATTATCCTCCATAATCAAAACATTTTTAAGCTGAGATACAAGGCATTAAAATACTGGTGTTGTGCTTTGGGAGAGTCATATTCACAGCCATTAATATCTCTTAATTACAAGTAGAAACATACCCTGAGAATAAGATGTTTTAATTCATCATCTGATAGAAAAGCAGGCTTATAGTTTGCTTCTGTATATGGGTTTGTAGCACCTAAAGAAAACAAAAACAATTCCCTTACCACCAACTTAATAACACACATTTTAATGAGCACTTTTCCTTTGGCTCCTTTTTAGACTGTTGTTCATTGCAGATGTTCTGTAAAATGAAAATTACTTTTTGGTTTTATTTTACTATCAACGTAAGCTCTGTTGGTATTAACTTAAAAGAGGATGAAGCTTTTTTGCTATAACACAAATACTGCATTATCTAGTAATGCAAATTAAATGCCTTCTGAGATACAAAGGTATTCCTTGACATTTTTTAACCCAAATCCTGTCCTTGATTTATGGTCTAGTCTCAGAAATTAAAAATAAGAGATTAAAGAATAAAAACATTCAAACCATTTCTTCTCCTTATAACTTAGTAAAACATGACAAGCTCATGTAAACAAACTGTCACTTGGGAACTTACAAATCAGTTCCCTCATTCCACATCAAAGACAAAAACAGCATTACAATGACATCATCTCACAATGCCAAAACCCCAAAAATTGGCAACAAATGATGCAGCTATTTATTGAAGAGTAATTCTTTTCATTCTATTCCCTTCCTAAAGGCAAGAGAGAGTCAAATCAGTAACCACTGAAGTGTTATAAAGTATTAACCTAATTAAATGACAGTGGCAGAAAAGTTAAACCTTTCAAAAACATCAGGATAAAGGTGGAAGACACCAGCTCTCCTGGAAACGCAAACAGTGGCTCTTTTTTTTTTTAGATCAGCTGCATCCATATCTTTTCTCAGCGACGTATTTCCTGAAGGCTTAAGCTTTCAACATCATCACCAATTGTGCCCAAGCACTGACTCACTCTGATACGAAGCTTTAGGACACACAGAGATTTGCAGCACCCCCAACTCTTCCAAACCTGCGTGTTTCCCTTCAGCTGCTCGCAACGGAAACTGGTTTCTGAAGACTTAAATTCTGAAGACTAAAACTGAATTTTCAAAGTGCTCTCCAACTCTTTCACACAGAGCTAAAGGTATGAACACAAAACCTTATGAGTCCTGTAGGAATACTGCTTACACCTAAAATCCAGCCTCTCTACCCGACCAGGTTTGCACGTTGCCTGCTTAGAGCTTAGAACCCACTGTGCACTGCCAGCTGTTAAGCCCTTTGTTCCCTCTCCCCACCTTCCTCAGCTGCCTTGGTGCTGTGGGACCTGGTGACAACGATCACTAGGTCAGATGATGGAACACTATTCTTTCCTCATCCCAAACTTTCCCAGTCGGATCAGGGTATTTATTGGACCATGAACTAGTAAGCTATAAATGAACACTCAGCGTCAAATGCTAAGAAAAGGGGAGACGTCCTCCCAAAATGTACTGACTTGCTCCATTTTGGCAAAAGGGCAAGAAAAGGAGAGGAAAAGCACGGCTTTGGGGAAATCCCATTCTGGATCCTCCTCCTCCAGCCCCAGCCAACTCACCACGTAGTGTTTTCATGTGCTGCACAGCCATTCTCAGCACGGTGAGCTTGTCCAGCTTCCGAGACATGGCGTTGCACGTTGGGACCAGCGAGGCCAGCTCGTCTATGAAACTGTTCATTTTATCTCTGCGCCTCTTCTCAATCTGACTGTGAGCCTCCCTGAGCAAGGAAGGCGGTGAAGGAAAAGAGAAAAGCATGAGAAAATAAGGCATATTAAAAAAATGCCCAAATCCAGCATGACAAAACCACAAAAGTAACCTCCTCCTGATGATTGTTACCCTCTTGTCCTCGTGAAAAGGACATCCACATGCAGAATTCTTCAGACATTTTATGTTCATGATGTGGGTAATAATAACATAAGCAAGAGGCAAGGCTGCAGCACATGGTTCTAATTTACCAGAAAACACATATAACTTTGGCCATATGGCACACTGAATCCTCAGAGCTGAACCAACCCACAAAACAGTGCAAAATTATCCAGAGGTTTCTGCTGCTGTGCACCACTTTTATCCTTAGCACACGACACTGAAACATGACTGGCACCCAAAAGGTCAGAGATAAGCAAATTCCAGTGTATATACATATTGAATAAAACAGCCTTAGATTGGGTTTTAGGAAAAAATGATTCACCAAAAGGGCTGTCAAGCACTGGAACAGGATGCCCAGGGCAGTGTTTGAGTCACCGTCTCTGGACATGCAGATGTGGCACTTGGGGACACGGTTCAGTGGGACTTAGCATAGTTGGACTCCATGATCTTAAAGGCCTTTCCAACCTAATTCTATTCTATGATCCATTTCCATCAAGCATTTGTAATCACTGTACTACATGAATGTACTAAGTACTCAAAACTACTTTTTGCTGTGGCAATACAAGTCTTCTACTCATCCCATAGTTTTTTATTTGAAGTATTTGAGATACATCCGAACCAAACTCTTCCTAATCAGGAAAATTAATTATAAACACTAAACAATTTAATTTTTGGGTTATATTTTCCCACAATGAGTCACTGTTAACACTTGTACAACCCACTATTGAGTCTGAAAGAAGCAAGATGAAGAATGTAACATTATCAGAAACATACTTGCTTCAATTTCAACACTAATGAAGTGACTAAAACCAAGTTACCTACCAAATTAGTATTTTCACAAAACTATATGCAAACCTAATGGAAAATGTTAGCAGTGCAGAGATATGGAAAAATAAGGGAAAGTCAAAGTTAGAACAAAAATATTTTCAGGAGAAGAAACACATGAAAATAATTCATATGTGGCAAAAAAGCAAGAGATAATTCTTTCTAATATACTTGTTTAGAGCATTACCTTGCATTTTTTATTCTGCCTTGTTGGTCTGCATACTCCAATCTGTTGAGAAACAACATCACAAAGTTACAACGCTGGAATCACTCAACCCAATTCTTTTAATGCATCTTACATAACTACTGATCCTCATTAAAATCAGTTGTTTAGAATCTGAATATGTATCTAACTTTTCTAGAGAAAGAACAATATTTATAATACTGTGTCTCAAAGTTTGGGGTTTGGTTTTTTTTTTTGCTTGTCTGTTTTACTTTGCTTGACAATCTCATGTCTTTATCCCAGCCAAGAAATAATTTGGGACACATGACCACAGTGACACTGAGAACAGGAATCCACAGACAGGATCCTGTGTCAGTACTGTGGAACTAACATTTCAGTGACTGTATCACCAGTACCTTCCATGTTGGTCATCTTTATCTGTATCCATACCTTCCCTGCAGAAACAGAGCAAAGCAACACATCACAAATTCAGCAGGATTAGCAGAGCAGTCATCAAACCATCATAACATTAGAATAAAGTATTGCTGTCATCTTTAAACCACAAATACAAAGATAAGAATACAAAAGCGACATAAAGTTGTGTGGTTTTTGTAATATTAAAGCATTTTCTTAAATTAGTTGTGTCTCCTTCAGAACTAACTAAATGGCACAGTTTGATGTGTTTGACAGTAAAACATGCTGCAGTTCAAAGATATCATCTGTTATAAAAATATTTTTCAGTTAACTGGAGGGGGGGAAAAAAGGACATATCAAAGCAGTTATTTTTAAGCCTTCATCAGCACTAGCTCTACCACCTTGCATTTACAAGTTGGACCAGAGGCAGTTATCAAAATGCCTTGCATTAAATTCACAAATTGCCCTAAATTGCTTTGTGCTGTGTGTTCTACACCCCAGTTTGCCTCATGGTAGCTGATTTGGGGATAGAAGATGGTTATAATCTAGACCAACAAACCACTGGAGATGGCCAAATGTGCACGGAGAGAGCGGAAGACTCTGAAACTAAGCAGGCACATTTTAAACTGGTACAACTTTCAGCTTGCTTTTCTTTCAACATGAAAGAAAAAAAGGAAGGAGGCATGAAGAACGGAAATACTGTAACCATATGCACAGAAATAAGCAGAAGAGGAAAGCGTAAGTTTTCCCAGCTGTATGTGGTAAAAAAAGTTGAATGCCTATGACTGCGTGTCTTTGGTTAGACAAAATAAGTAGGAAGAGAATGTTTTGATTTATATAAATCTGTACAACTGTGCTTAAGTGGACTCTCTTAGGCCTGGCTCATTCTGCTTTAATTTTTACCTGCAAATTTTAAGTAAGTGGAAGGGAAAGGCAAGGAAAAACGCTGAGCATCTTTTTCCAGTGAAACCAATTACTAAAATATTTATACTTACTCAAAAGGAAAGCCATCGAGTCTGAAAAGAAAGAAAAATAGAGTACACCATACATGGGAAATAAGAATAATGTCTTACATTTTCTGCTGAAATGCTCAAGCTAATAATTCATATTCTATTTGAAATGAAAAGCACAATGAAAACAGGACAATAGCAGTATTCTAAAGAAATGAGCTTGCTCAAATTAATCTACTTCCTGAAAGAATAATTCTGCTATTTAAGAAAAGATAGCATAGTTGATGACACTTAATGTGGAAAAACTAGTAAAACAACTAACCTAAATTATGTTATGCAAATCATTGAGATATTGTTTCATCTTCAGAAAGGAAAGATCTGTGCTTTGTGCGTGTTGTCCTTGTGGTTAGATAAATGGGATTTCAGAGGACTCTAAGGCCAGAAATAAAACATAAAAATAAAAATAAAGTATCCCAAGTTTCTCAGTTTTTGATGATTCTTGTCCAGCAGGACAGATGCACATTTTGCTTCAGTCAGTACTGAAGTCCCAAGCCTGAACTTTACACAGACTTTATCGTATCATAAGGAGATCAAACAGAATTTCTACTGCACACTAACTGCTGGAATCACTTCAAGCCTGTAAAGTGACCTGAAATACCACTGAGCTTTACCATGATAAGAGGCTATGTTTTATAAAAGCCTTATGAAAAAGTCTTCTCATTTCAGCCACTAACACGCTAGTTATTCTTATTCAACAGTGGACATAAGCCTTCTTAAAAAGAAACACGGTAGTGTTTCATATATTATTCACTGCACTCTTAGATCAGTTATATTTGTGATTAGCTTTAAAAAGAAGTTTGAATAACGCTCAATGTTTTCTTCATGTCTCCATCTGCACCCCTGAGTTACTGTGTGAGCCACTGGCTCAAAGCACTCAATTAAACTAAATTAAACAGCACTTGTGATACCCCCTTTAGCTTCAGGATGCTTGTTGTAACAAAATTCATTTTAGCCTTAAAAAAAACCCAGAAAGCAAAATCTAAAAGAGGCACAAGGTAAGTTACAAATGCATCAGGATAGTGTGTTTTCTTATCATATATTATTTCAGTTGAAAACATTAGTCCCACGAAAAAAAATGAACTGTTTGTAGACCTGGGCATGAGGTCTTGGATTGTAGCATTTGACTGAAACAGAACACAGTGGAGAATAGCCTTTGCTGAAGTGACAGCAATAGGCTGGGCAGGAATTTTCCTGGAGGAGTTGCAGGAGAAAGAATTAAAAGAGAGCTGGAAGTGCAGCTGATCAATACATTTGCTTGTACCTGAGAGGTGAACAAAGAACCACACTAAAACAGTTGGGTTCTGCTTTCTTTACTCCCTGGCTTCACTGGTACATTGGGAAAATTTATTTAAAATAAATTGTTAACAGGCAGCAAAAGCTGAACAGTAGCATTTCTGAGCATTTATCCATCCATCCATCCATATAGCAAGAGGTATCAAGGTAATCTACCTTAAGTTCTACTTCAAAAAAAGAACATTTACTGGCCACCATTTCCTTTTCAACACAACATGAACTGTGGTATGACAACAGCTGTTGTAAACTTACTTCACTGAGGATTCAAGGAAACAGTGTTTTCACATATTTAAAAAAAAAAAAAGCACACAAAACCTAAAGGGCAGAATTATAACTTACAAGAGCAAGCTGTCTTTTGGAAAAGAGGACTTGAGCAATGCTTCCTACCCAGAGGAATAAAGATGGAGAAATCCTTTTTCTAGAGAAGAGGAAGTTGGTAAGATCGAGGCTGTTCACTGAATTTTGTAGTGGTCAATTAAACTGGAGGGACTCATGTACTTTTCAAGAAGACTAAAGGCACGTTAGAGAAGGTACATATGCAGTGCATTTGTGGCCTTTAAAAAGTGCATAAAGTTTTGTGCATAAGGTCTCCTAAAAAGAAGTCCTACACACAAGGAATCTAATTCTTAATTGTCATGCTTGGCATGAATTAAAAATTCTGCCCCTCCGTGTAAAAAGAACTGCCAACACTCCAAAGCCCACAGTGATAAAATTTGTGCTGAGTTACATAAAACCAGACTCTGTGGCCATATGAATAATGGATGTGTCCATTCCCAAGCTACCCTGCAGCCAGGCTTTGTTAAGTTACAACACACAGGAGGTTTGTACAGTGACTTGGAGTAAGTAGGTTGGTTTTGGTGTTCCTAGTGCAGGAGATATTGCACACTAGGAAATCTGGCAAACTCTACTACAACCTTCACTACCTAAAGCAGAGTTGGTGGCATTTCTTTTTATGTCAAACACCTGCCCCAGGAGAGAAGCTATGGCTTGGAGAGTGCTTCTGAGCACTGTTATTAGCAAGCTTCCCTTAATGAGAAAGCAGCTTTCTTGAAATAAAGCCACATTCTACCACTGACTGAGAAGAAATCAGGTTTTTATTGTGTCAGGATTAATAGCCCACAGTCGAGAACCAACACAAGATTAAACCAGTTGATTAAATGAAAGGCAGCTCTAATGCCTTAAACCAGAGACTATTCAGATTCATATTTGACTGAGGGACCAAAATAGTTTCATCAGGCAAAGGCTGGCAGCACACTGATAGGAAGTGACTAAATAGGCAAAAAATAGGTGAAGAAAAGGAACAACTCCTAGTTTTGCTTCTGCTTTTCAACAAATTTATTACCTTCCCCTTCCACTAGTCAGACATTTTTTTCCTATGTCAATGGTCAGTATAATCAACCTTTACACTGTACTTTTCATCAGCACTAATTCCACCCCCCCATCAGCCAAGTGCTTTTCTCCTTAGCCTTACCCCATCTGATAGCCCTCCATTCCAGCTGCACTGAGATGACAGCTTTATTTTAATTATTAAATACTGAACTGTCCTCTTAGTGCATAGCAGCTTTTTTCTTTATTGAAACCTTTAAGGCAGGTTGTCAAGAAAAGGTTATTTAAAAATTGCTATAAATATTACTATAGCCTCCCACACTGTATTGTTGTGTTACCACCTCTTTTTAGCAGAGCTAAATCAAGAGAAATCCAACTTACTGATAATCAGTAGAGCTTCCCTTTCTTTTCCTATTACAATCCATTCCTGAAGTGCTAAGGGAACTGGAGATCAAGTCAGCAGGGTCTGGTGACATAAAGTCACTAATTGTAGAAGATATGTCCATCCTTTGGTCTGCCATTGGACTGTCTAACATTAGGGGAAAAAAAAACAAACACAAGAAACCCACCAAAAAACCACTGCATTAATATAGGCAGAAACTCACATTTTTAATCAAAAAAAAAGTTCTCTCAAACTTAGCATTCTTAAAAACTGAGAAAATCACAGTTTCTGTTATTTCCTTTTGCCATAAAACTGGTAATAGGCAATTTCTCCTTTTCCATATACCAGTGTATTGAATATTGCACACAAACCATGACCATTCTCAAAACATGTCGCTCCACACAATTGTTTTTAAAGAACTGTCAGCGTGATCTTTAACCAAACCAGGTTTACTCTTATTTTAACTGGCCAGCCAATTATTTCTACCTAACAGAAATATTGCTGACTGGGAACACTAGTTTTAGTCTCCATTTGAAGATCATATTATCAAAGTTCACAAGCTTTAAAAGTTATAATTCCCCTGAATTTTGTGGAACAGAATTTAGATTTCCATAGAAATCAAACACCTTCATCACAGTAGATCCCACAAATAAAAATCCTAATAACCCAATGACGGTCTAAGAAGACTAGTTAAAAGTGTAAATTAATCTAATTGGCTCTTTTATCCAAAACATAGACTCTTTAAATCCTCTAGACTGCAAATAATTATATTGTTGGAAGAAACCCCTGTGAAAAGTTCATTTCTAAATAGCATCAACTGTGAAACAGAAGAGTTTTTACCTGAAGGCCTGTCTTGGAAGCCTAGATCCACTTGAACAAAGATGATGATGCTCAGCCCAAAGCAGCTGATCACCTTAGAACTCTTCCATGCCTCATATTCTGCTGGTCAAATACTCTCAAAAACCTGAATGGGAGGGAAACCAACAAGCTTAAAAACCACCTTCAAAACAAGCTTGTTTAGAACAAATGTTTTAGACACAGTTTACAACAGCGACACATGTTTCCTACTCAAGGATAAAATACTCATTTCCTTATAAAATGTGGAAGCTTTACCCATCCAGCAAGAGGGTTAGATGTTGGGATGTGTGTCTCCAACGGACCAAGGTGTGGAACAAAAGGAATCTCTTCAGCATCACTTCCATTTGGGCCCTGCTTATCAATTCTTTGGTCTTTGCATAAACCCCCTCTGCTCATAATCAAGGATCACACACTCACAGTCACGAACACATCTGTTGTCAGATGATGCCAGAACAACTTAAACTGCTGTCACAGTGCAAAAGATAGACTTATCCCTTCCCTCCTGACTGCCTTATTTTAAGGTGGCCAAAGCAGTAAGACAGTTTGGGCTTGACTTACTGTTTTGTTTTCCACTGTAACAGCAGTTGGCATTTTTGAAGGACAGGGGTTAAGTACTGTTCTATTCTGCAAGCTTCAAGTTTTACATAAAATCCACAGCCCATACTACAACTCAAGTCGTTAAATGTGTTTCCCAGCTATACTGTAAACCTAGTGGTTGGGCTGCAGGTGGTTGCCCTTCCTTTCCAGATTGCTGTCACAAAACAAGTTTTTCAGCAAAACTTACTATGGAAGACTTAAAAACTGTTCTACGTCTTCCTCCTGCAAAAAAACTTTGCAGGTCTATTGAGTACATTGTTTTCTGGTTAATGCACCTGTGAACATCCTGACTGCCCTTCCAACCTGTGACAACAGTAGAACTTCCCAATTACACAGAACAAGCAGCTCCCACGACACTCTCAGAAGCTCACAAGTCAAACAACCAGTGTTCTGTCAACATGACCAAATTATAACCAATTTTACTCAATCACACATAGAGACAGGCTATGAGTTATAAGCCAACAGAAACCTCACAAAATCCAAAATCATGTGATGTCATTTTCTCCAGTGCTGCCAGAATAGCAAATTCAGACATTCACAAGTAAAAATTATCTAATTCACTGGTCCTATTATGGTAATAAGTCAGGATTGCAGCTCTTCAGTCTAAGGTCAGGCAAGTCATTGCCTTCATACCACCAACTTCTGAACAGGATCACTGTTGTACTAGAAGCAGAGCTTCCAAACTCTCCTGGGGGCACATCATCCATCTCACCCAACAACTTCTCTGTGGTCCTTTCCCAAACAACCTCCTTTTCCATTTTTGAGAATGTCTAGGCATGTTGGTTCATGCATGTTAAGAGGCCAAAGCAGAAGATCACTGACAAAAGCCAAATCAGTACAAATTTAAGTCAAATCATAAACTGCCATTGAATCCATAATCACACTTGCTTTACAAGGCTTTCTTTCACACTCATACAGTTACTTGTAGACCAGGCCCTGCTTTCTCCCCGTGTCAGCCTTTCCTTGTTGTCTGCTTTGTTCCTCTTACCCAAAGCAGCCCAACAGCTTTAGACACGATTATGTTACTGTGGGGTATGAGATTACTGCATCTTGCTTTACCAGTTAAACCACAGTCACTGGCCATTTCTCTGTGCTTGGTTTAGACCCAAAAACATTATCTCCAGCCTCATTTGATGTGCAGAAATTAGTTACAGCTAAACTTAGTGTGGCCCCTGGCTAAGCCCTGTGAATCCAGTGGTAAGAGCACTGCCACAGCAAACAACTTATGAATCCCTCTTGGAACCTGACACAAACCCCAAGCACTGCACAATGCTAGAAACAAGTACTTCCTGAAATTTCTGACCCAACCACCCACAATTAACTTTCACAAGTTTCTGAACACCTCTATATGTGAGAGAACCTGTTGAACTCACATTTTACTGCTTTATATTTCATGGACCACCCAGACAAAAGGTTGGGATGAGTTGAAATTACCAAATTAAAAAAGGGGGGGGGAGGATTTGTAAGTTTAACACAGTCCTTTCCCTTTAAGACTGCCTGCAACAGTCAGCATTTTAGCTTCATAATCAGAACACTGCACAAGTCACTGTGCAGTAATGCTAAAAAAAAAAAAATTGTTGTTCATCTCAAACAAAAATTTCAAATCAGTTTCATAGAAAAGAAAGATCTTGAAATTAAGTATCCATTCAACTGTGCTGCTGTTTTAAACTATAACTGTCTATTTTGATAGTTTCAAAGCAGCTATTCTAAGTCTTGACCATTTAAGAAAAAAAACAAAAACCCACATATAAAAAGCAGAATTCTCAATTTGTTTTCCAGTCAGTCCTTTCTCTACCATGTCCCAAGTGCTCATCCCAGTTCTAACAATCACAGTCCTACATTTCAGCATTACAGGAGCTAAGAACAATGCATGTCTCTTGAAATGAGGTTTAAAGTTAAGAAAATGTCAACCCAATGATCAGAGCAAAAATCAGCATGCCCCACTAAATAGTGAACAGTTCAGAGAAGTGTTTTGTTGCAAGGCTCTCTTAAAATTCTGAAAAATTGAATATTTTACTGTCTTTTCAGCCTCCAGCTGCTTGATGTTCAATGGCTAAAAAAACTCTCTATGAGAAGGAATGCAAAAGTTACCCATATCTATATAAGCAAAGTTCAAATCTTCCATTTATGATGCCAAGCCTGTTGCCAAAGTACTCCAGAGACCTACTTGAAAAATTGCCATGTAGTCCACTTCCTGATTAAATTCTTCTGTAGATGAGAATCAAACGATATTTTGTCATTGCATCTCATGACAGTTTCTCTCTACAGCCTGTTTGGGACTCTACTTCCTTCGGGATTCCCCTTCCTTGCATTCCATCTTTCTCCAATCTCCTGCAACAGGGCTAATGAGACAGTAAAAAGAAATCTTACTGTTCATCCCTCATTTAAAAAAAAAAAGTTAGATAACACGTGACCAGCTTAATCATGCAGCAAAGCTGATCACGAGTACATAAACACCTCTGAGCAAATCAAGGTCAGAGCTAAAGTAGGTCAACTACATGTGCCAAGCACCCACCCGGGAGTCAAGACCTCTTTACACAAGGCCCATCAGTTTTGGTTCCCCCGGGCAAGAGTCATCTACCTCCAACATATTCTTGTACGAGAGATGCAATTCATAACTTCATGAATCAGAAATGTCTCGCACTTAAAAAGCACCATTTCGCAGCGGCAGAGGAAAACCGTGGTGTGGTTTCCTGAAGAAGCAATTGAGAAGATACTCATTGTCCCTGCGTGTAAGGACTGAAGCAAAAACAGCTACGGAGAGGAAATCATCAACTTCCCTTCACAGCAGCATTCCATCGCTGGAGTTCACTGTCACAGCACAAACTAGTACTAAACTGGTTATTTATCTTCACTAACAGCACTTCAAGAGGTGCTGCAGAAGTCTGGAGGCTCCAGATGCTCACGGACTCAAAAATGGGGGAGATTTCGGCTGCAAGAGTCGCTGTGATGATTTCAAGATGCAGACAGACATATGTGGGCATGGCTGCTGCAAGTAACAAGCAGTTCCTACATCAGAATCTTTATTATGGAATACTCCCTAGGAATCATTGGAAGATCTTTGAACTAAAGCAGTGGTATTTTCCTTTTCCTTCAGTCCTTAAGGAGCAGCTGTCAAAATACTTCGTATTTTCCAAATACATTGATACTGTTTTGTTTTAATGGCACATTTATGTTCCTTGAGCTCCCCAATACTATTTGCAAGAACACTCTGTACTCCCAGAAGACAAAAAGCCCTGTGGCTTCCTCTCACATGCAGATACATCTCACCTCACTCTCTAGGGCAAAGAAGTGGTTTTACCCTGGTTTGCTTGTTGAGGTCACCCTTTTACCACTCATTCATCAGTATGTTCACCAGCCCCTGGCACCCTGTGATCCACATCTGAGCTCTGGAACTCCTCCTGAGATCAGTAGCTCATGTTTCGACCCCACCACACACACAGAGTAGCGATACAAAATCCTCCTGCAGCTCCCTCAGCCCCTCACAAGAGGAATACCCTGCTCTGGGGAAGGCAGAGACTGCTCAAAGCACTCTGTCTTCCAACAGCTGCTCTCCATGTTTCCCAAGGAAAAAGTAGAAGGCTGGAGGGAAGAAGCCCGTGAATCTAAAAGAGCCACAAAGCTACAAGATAAACAATTTTGACATAGGGGGGAAAAGTCTCCAAGGAACAGAAGATAAACTCCACATGCAGTCTCTCAATAGATCAATATACAGTCCATGTGCTCCCCCACACCGAAAACGCCTGTTCATCAGCAGCATCTCTGAGAAAAGATGGAACAGGCCATCTCATGGCATCAACTCACAGTTTTCCAGACTGTCAGAGTGGCAATGGAGCCACAGGACAATATGCTGCATTTTATCTCGTTCTCAGAACACTGAGAATTCCAGATCAAGAGGGGCCTCAGTTCCTGTATCTCCTTGTTTATAAGGGAAAGTACCTAAAACTTTTACTTCCAGCTATTTTAACAAAGGACTTCTCTGTTGTCTCAAAACCAAGGATAAGTGGTAACTAAAACAACCTTCTCTTGCACTGGGGAGCTCAGAACTAGATCCAGAACACAGAAGTGTCTCAGCAGTGCCCAGTAAATGGGAAGGATCACTCCCCTCAGCCTGCTGGCAACACGACTCCTAAAGCAATCCAGGAGGTTGTTGGCCTTCTTTGCTGCAAAGGCATCACTGCCAGCTCATGAACCACCAAGATCTTTTCTGCCAAGCCGTTTTCCAGCTGGTCGGTCCCTAACCTGTAGTGGGACATGGGGTTTTTCCTCACTAGGTGCAGGACTTGACATTTCCCTTTGTTAACTTCTTAAGGTTCTTTATAAGGCTCTTGGTGACTCTTTCCTCTGGTCTGTAGAGATGCCCCTGGTTGGCAGCACGCTCATGAGGTGTATTAGTCATTCCTCCCTGGAGCTGGATTGTCTGCACCTCTAAGTATGGAGCTTCAGACAGCATGGAAGGAAAGGAAAACAGAATGTTTCTTGAAAGAGAACAGATTTAACAACCTTCAA